ATTAATTTTAAAAGCAGCAGGTAGGCAAGAACTGTATATCCATATTCTTAATGCTAATCTGAATTTGAAACATCTGATTTTGAACACCTTTATTTCACTAGACAACCTTTTTTTCTTATTTCTAATTGAATTATTTATAATACACATTTCAAAGTGGCAGAAGTTAGTGAATTTCCAATAAAGTACAGTACTGCAGGTATTAAGTACACGGGACAATTTTTGTTAAATTTATCCCTAAATGAAATAATTATATTCATATTGCTACCATTCAAAGATCACAGTGGTATGCAGGTGCACACATATGTATTGGGAAAAATGTTACTGTAAATTTTTTTGCTGTCTGTTAGAGAAAAAATATAGAATGACAATTTTGTGAAGGTATAAAGCACATTCAGTGTAATGTTTGGGTATGTTTGTGTATCTGTAATGCTACTCTGTCTGCTATAATAAAATAACCCAGATTTATTGACAGTAGGTGAGAATATAAAGGAAAAGTAGGACAGTTTTACTTCTTGATGATCCTATTAAAAGATGAAACAAAGTTTATGTACTGTATTGCATAGAGAATTTGAATAAGTTCATAGGAAAGTACAAAGAAAATTAAACAACCAAAAAGAGAGTACTCTTTGTTGGAGCTCACTTTTGTCATGATTTTTAGAATGTGGTAAAATAAAAAAAAAAATAGCAAGTGAATCATTGGGAATATGTTGATTTTAAGCTATTCTTGATGAAGTATTACTTGAGGGTGTTTGTCTAGGCCTGATACTGAGAATAATACAAGAATTAGAAGACCATGAGGAAGAGTAATAGTGTTCTCCCATCACCCTGAAATCCAGCACTTAGAAAACATGATTGAAATCACATTTATAGAACTGTCCCTTTTACCTGACATCATCATCATCATCATCATCATCATCTTCATCATCATCATCATCATCATCAATCATCTACATTTATCTCATTAAATGATTTTTTTATTATACATAATTTTGATAATGTCTAAGAAATTTTTAAAAGATTATCATTTTGGGAAATTTGCATTAGTAAACAACAAAGTTCAAGTCAATCTGAATACATTTAGATTTAGAAATTAAGTCCAGTTTAGTTTAAAAGGCATTGCTTATAATTGTAGATGACCTTAAACTAATCCACGGAAGGCTGTAAGAAAGATTTCGATTTTAGTGTAAATAGAATTCCTTAATTAGAGAGATAATTAAACTGTTTCACTATCAAGCTCTTATTCCTAAAGAAGGATTTTAGATTAAATAAATCAAACAGAAGTAAGCCCTCGCACCTCTATTTTACTTGGGTAATGATGGAGTTCAAAGTCACAGAGCCCCATTTCTGTAATGTAAGCAAAATGAAAATTAATTTGTAGAATAGAATGGTGTAGTTGTGGTTTAGGGATTATTTTTTATTTATTGGAATTGTATTTTGAGATCCAGAGTTGCTTATTGAATTTCTGTATGAGGAGAGTTTTGGTGAGGACTCTGCAACAGGCAAGGTGCCTTCCAATGTAGGGCTGTTGGGCCGCACAATGTCATGGGGTGTCCCTTATGCTGTGATGAGGTGCAGGATCCAAGAAGAGACAGGACACTGAAGAACTGGTGATGAGCATGTGGACTCAGGGGCCATGCCACCTGTGAGTGGAGATCAGCGGGCCCCCAAATGCCCAAGAGCATCTGTATTTATTAGGTACAAGCAGGGGGCAGGGTCCTGAGTGAGGTCATCATCTGTAGGCTTAGTAATAGGGCATACATAATCACGTGAGTCACAAGCGAGGGGGCCACCCCATTATGTCACCTAGGCAGAGAGGTGGGCCGTGCACAGTAGGGGGCTGTGCTGTGTGCAGTAGTAGAGGCTTGTGTACAGAAAAAGGGGCCCACCCCCATTAGGTCACCGAGGCAAGGAGATGGGCTGTGTGCAACAGGTGTTGTGCACAACACTTCTTATCTGGGGGCTGGAGACTTCAAAGGATTTCTAATAGAAGGATACTGTAAGCTTAATGCAGTGGGAGCTGACAGACTTGTGCTCTTCTCTTAAGATATTTATGGGAGGATGATTTGAGCTAGCACAGAATCCAGAAAAGACTGACAGGGTGTACAGCTGCTGTGACTGGTCGCACCAGAGGGGTTCTTCTCCCTCGGTTATTTCCAGGATCTCAGGCCTGAGGCCTACTTTCCACAGGAACTGGATGCAAGGTACTACAACTCCTTTATCAGGAGGAGAGGCTTTTGCTCCAAGCCTGCCACATAGCATATGCCCTTTCAGGCAGGGATGCCATTACCTGGGTCTTCGGTTCTTGTCCTGGTCTGGCTGTTTTCCCATGTACTGCTTCTGTTCTGTGACTGCTCTAGGCATTCCTCCTACTACATACTATTATGTGGTTATATGCAAGGATTATATAAATCAGCACGAAATGTGTCAGTACAGCTCCGACTACAATACCTATATGATTATGTAGAAAGATTATATAGAACTAACTATGCTAGTTGTAAGTATTAAGTATTATCATATAAGCTAGATATATGTAAGCTGTAAATTATACTCCAGTCACTAATTCTATAAATGAATATATGATTATATATGAAGGATTATATAAAGGAAATAGCAGAGTAATAACACTATACACTAAGATATTCTTCAGGCACTAATTGTGCCTGGGGTCTGGACAGTTCTTCCTCAGTGCCCATGGAGGGTGTTACCCACATTCCAGAAAAAGCTACTCAATTCAGATTAATTTCCAGTTTCTTTCAACTTGCAGGAACATGGCTAGACCAAGCTTTTATGCTATTCTCTGGCCAAAGAGTTGGGAATAGAAGAAAATTGTTACTGTTTTTATGGCTTAGCGTACTAACAAACTCCAGAAAAATACAAGGCTAGAGGGTAAGAGACATTGATGTTAAAGTTAGAATATCTAACATACTTGCTGAGTTCTGAAAGATTAGAGAAGAGAAATGGGGCAAAAGCAATGCTGGGGAAATTTTTCCAAAAATGATGAAATGTATCCTTCCATATATTTTAAGGAGCCATTGACTTTTGGACAAGGTAACTAAAAAAATTTAACATAAAATTTAACATTAAATGACACAGGACATCAAAGACCAGTAGAAAATCTGAAGAGTAGCCAGAGGAAAAGACAGGTTATTTTAAAAGGAACAACTTTCTAAATAACAACCTGATTTTCAACAGAAAAATGGAAGGTATTATTTAAAGAAATCATGTTTTCAGTGTGTTTAAAAAAAAATAGAGGACCTTCATAAACAGAAATCCAAATGATATTTGTCAGATAGAGTAAAAATTATTGAAAATACAAGGTTAAACATCAAGAAGCAATAAAAATTAACAAATTATAAATATGTGCATAATTCTAAATGAATGTTGACCAAATAAAATAATAGCATCTTATCGAGTTAAACATTTAATTGATAAGATATATGCAAATAGTACCAAAGAGACTGGAGGTAAAGGTGACAGGAATACATTTAGTTAAATTATTTTTTGCACTTTTCTATGTCTGTGAGGAGAATTTTAACATCATATTAACGACCCTATAATAGGAATTGCATCAAATGATTTATGAAATAATGCTCATAGCAGAGTTATTCATAACAGCTCAGAAATAGACTGGCTGAATATGTATTAACTAAGGATGATGGAATTATATGAATGATTGCATATTCATACAGCAGAACAACATAGGTGAAAAAAATGAATCACATGTACATGCAATTATGTAACTAAATTTCGGAAACATGATGTCAGGTGCTAGAAGCCATGAACAAGAAGAACATACAGGATTGCACCTATATACAATTCAAAGCAGGACACACTAAGCTATGGAGTTTAGGGTTGCAAACCTAGTTGGTAAAGTATAAAGAAAAATCAAGAAAATGATCATCATAAATTACCAATATTATTTATCTCAGGAGATGTGAAGAAGGGTTTAGGGGCTTGGAAAGTGGAATGGAGGGGGACCTATGTTGGCAGTGTTCCATGTCTTACTTTGCATGATGGTTACATGAGTGTTTGTGATACATGGCTCTTTCCCATTTTTGTTTTGGCCCATTTCTAAGTGTGCATTATAATTTTATTTAAAAAATTATAAATTAGGAGAACTGTTAGGTAAAAATTATTAATTTCTCTGCTCATTATATACCTAGGGGAAAAATCCACTATTTACATACATTCTTATACAGCTCAAAAGAGTTAAAGTGGATTCTTATTTTAGTTGTGAAATGTAGAAATTTGAGATACTGTTACCTACAGCCCCCAGATCTTTCCGAAAGTTTTCTTCTAGTCTTACATATTCACCTTACATTACAAAAACATTGATATTACTAATCTGTTTTTCCCTTGGCTCCTGAATTTCTGACAAAACAAGGGTGCACATATTTTTCACACTCTTGGTTTAGAAGAGCACCTATATCAGGTTTTCTGCAAAAGAAACTTCTCCAAAACCATATTAGATATTTATATCTCACATGTTTTTGGATTCTGTTTTCTTAAGCTATGGTTTGGTGGCTGGCTGTGGTGATTTGAGATGGTCCAAGTTTTGCATCTTGGATCTAGTTAGTGTTTGACCTATCTAAGGCTGGATCAGGCAGGGGCGATGTGACTCCGTTAGTTATTCTTTGCTTTTCATTGCAAAGCAGTGAAAGAAGATACGTCTTTATTTGCGTGATAGTCAATGAAATTCAGCTTTCCCTTCAACATCAGTATGAAAAATTTCAGCCTATAGCAAGAACAGAGGCTCTATGAATAAGAATTAATTTGAGCTGTTTGGGGACTAACAATATTTTCCATAAAGGCAGCATTGAACTCATCCATTTATTTAAGCTGGTACTTTCCTGTTGACATTGTTCACAGAATTTAAAAGTATAAAGAATGTTATTGAACATTCAGGAATCAAGTGCATATTGAATTTAAGGCCTGAATATCAGAGGAGTCACAACCAGTGATATTAGGCCTGAATTTTTTTCTTGCTTTTTTGTTTAGACATGATGAGTTTTCTCGTCATTGTTTTTTCCATTCTAGTATTGGTTGCATTTGTTCTTGGAAATTTTGCCAATGGCTTCATAGCACTGGTAAATTTCGTTGCCTGGGTCAAGAGACAAAAGATCTCCCCAGCTGATCAAATTCTTGCTGCTCTGGCAGTCTCCAGGGTTGGTTTGCTCTGGGTAATATTATTAAATTGGTATTCAACTGTTTTCAATCCAACTTCACCTAATTTAAAAGTAAGAATTTTTATTTCTAATGCCTGGGTAGTAACCCACCATTTCAGCGTCTGGCTGGCTACTAGCCTCAGCATATTTTATTTGCTCAAGATTGCCAATTTCTCCAGACTTTTTTTTAATCATTTAAAAAGGAAGGCAAAAAGTGTAGTTCTGGTGATAGTGCTGGGAGCTTTGTTATTTTTGATTTGTCAGCTTGTGTTGAAAAACATGGATATGAATGTGTGGACAAAAGAATATGAAGGAAATGTAACTTGGAAGATCAAATTGAGTAATGTAATGCGCCTTTCCAACTTGACTGTAGCCACGCTTGCAAACGTGGTACCCTTCACTCTGACCCTGATATCTTTTCTGCTGCTAATCTGTTCTCTGTGTAAACATCTCAAGAAGATGCAGCTCCATCACAAAGGATCTCAAGATTCCAGCACCAAGGTCCACTTAAAAGCTCTGCAATCTGTGATATCCTTCCTCATGTTAGTTGCCGTTTACTTTCTGTGTCTAATCACATCATTTTGGAAATCTAATATTCAACAGAAAGAACTTGTTATGTTTTGCCAAACTGTCGGAATCATATATCCATCATTCCATTCATTCATTCTGATTTGGGGGAGCAAGAACCTAAAGCACACCTTTCTTTCAGTTTTGTGGAAGGTGACTTGCTGGGCAAAAGAACAGAAACCATCAACTCCATAGATTCACAAGAGATGCATTGTGTGTTTTCTAGCAGAAAAGAAATTGATGGTGTCTGGAACATTTTATATTTCCTACAAGTTTTTCTATAGTTTGTGCATTTGAGGAATTTCCAAAAGTAGACTTAGAAAAGTCTTTTACCTAAATTTATTATATAAATGTGTGTGTGTATGTGTGTCTGAATGTGTCTGAACGTGTATGAAAACTTAACATTGACCATAACATACCTTTAGCCAATGTTTTAAATAAACTGCTCAGTTATACAAAAATAGAATTATGAACCCATGTGTATTTCGCACATATTTTATCTTATGATATTTCATTTGAGGAATTTATGATCTCTATAATTAGAAACTGACAGCTTATATCAGAAAATCGTTGCTATTTTTCATTGTAATTTGGATCATATATATGTATAATAGTGTCTTTAACTATCATTGTTTGAACCTCTAATATTTTGGATGGTAAGGACATTCAGTACTAATTCAATGATGAGAATGTGTCTTTGTGGTAGTTTTTTTTTCATGAATTCTTTTTTTCCCCCTTTTTTTTGAGATGGAGTCTTGCTCTGTTGTCCAGGCTGGACTGCAGTGCCTTGATCTTGGCTCATTGTAACCTCTACCTCCTGTGTACAAGCGATTCTCATGCTTCAGCCTCCTGAGTAGCTAGGACTCCAGGCATGCACCAGCGTGCCCAGCTAATTTTGTGGGGGTTTTTTTGCTTTTTTTTTTTTTTAGTAGAGATGGGGTTTCACCATGTTAGCCAGGTAGGTCTCTAACTCCTAACCTCAAGTGATCCACTGCCTCAGCCTCCCAAAATGCTGGAATTAGAGGCATTCATCATGAATTCTTATTTTATGTTTATTATAAAGCAGATACAATTATTGTTAGATAATGATTCACAAAATAAAATTCAAGAGTGAAAAATAAATTTAGTATACAATTTTGTTTATGTGTACCAACAGCAGTACTGAGGAATATTAGATTTAATACAGTATGTGAATAGCTTAGAAAAAATCATTTATATAAAAAGGATGAAGAAACATGATCATGAGCTCTTTTCAGTGCTGTTTTAAGTTTCCATATGCTACTTAGGAAAGTCATTTTTTCCAGTTTTTGAATTAAACAAAAACTTTTTTGAGGTTGAGATTTGATGTTAAATATTTTAGCTTTTTGTCTAAGCCACCTCTGAGCTCCCGAATCGACAATTTTCTCCTTTATCTTTCGTCCTTAAAATTCCTCAAAAAGCTCAAATTTTCCTTATCTTAAAAAGAAGGTCAATCTAAAGAGGACATAGACATTATGGTATCTATGAAATCTATATATGGATGATAAGAAATGTCTTAAAGATATGTTTTATTATATTCTTGGTGTAAATGATGAAAGGAGAGAAAGTGTGTTGGTATATTCACTAATAGCAAGTTCTACGATAAGAATAAAATGTATAACTTAGTTCAACAGCTAAATTCTGTGTGAAAGTATCAATTTCTGGTGTTATGAAATTTTAACAATATTATCTAAATCTTAAGATAAATCGTCTCCACATCTGATTTATCATATATCTTCCCTGGTACAATGTAAGCACCATAAAATTGGAGATCATATAGATCTTGCTTACTGTAGACCCCCAGGACATAAAAACACTGCATAGAGTAGGTATTCAAAATGACATTTTGATGAACATTAATTGGTGAAGGAATGAATACATGAACTATATTGGGGTGGTGAACCAATGAAAATGAAACACATCACAAAATCTACAGTTGCAGAAATATTCCTGCTCTGGTTTCAGATTGAGGTTACAGGATTATCGAAGAATTTCTCAGAACAAAAGTTTGGCTATTCCACAATTCTAGGAGAAATATCACTATAATATAGTATTGATGCAGCTATATCAGATATGTGACACAAGACAAGGTGGAAAATAAAATTAAATGGCGTTTATTACAATATTTTTTACTAAGCACATAAAAGATTTGTATATATATGCATGTATCTTTTCTATTGTGAACAATATGTTTGTATTGTGATATTTCTAGCTGGTTACTATATAAACAAAAATGGCATTTCATTAAAAAATTTAGTTACCAACTATCTTACTAAAATGTGATTTTTATATATAATATTTTTAATATCCTTTATACATTATGATTTTAATCAACATATTATAAACTCATAGAAAAGTGAATGCATAATAACTATAACACTGAATATCTTAGCCTCAGGAGTCTAGAACTAGATCCAATGTCTGATATTAAAGTGAGGACACTTGTTTGGAACGTAAGTCTAGGGCAGCAATGGCCGGGACATGTGGAAATTGAGGCAAGAGAAGATGTGAAACCATGTGTTGTGATGTACGATATGACTTTGCTGACGACCGCTTCGCAATGAGGTGAGAGAGACAGCATGCTGGTTATCAGATGTGTGTACTTGGCTCCCAGTACTTTTCCAGGAGGGCTGAGAGGGAAAAACACAGCCAGCACTAGTCCATGGAAGAGAGAGAGGAGGGAGATTGTGTCTATTCAGCTCTCTTCTGTCTTCTATTTCCCATTGGCCAGGGTTTACCTGAGGCAGAACTACCATCTCTGCTGTTCTTCCTTCCATCATCCATTCCCTTGGTGGTTGCTATGAAAGTCAAACCTCATGCCCACAGTGTGGTGATCCATTCAAGTCCCAAATGGAAGGATGATCTGGATCAGGCAAAGTACTGACCAGGGGGATAGGAGACAGTCAGGTGAATCTGAGGAAGTACATGTTTGTGTCCAATGCCATCCACTCCTTGTGCCACTCAGATTTGCTCATACCCTCCAATCATGGCTGGTTTTATGAGCGTATGATTTCTACTGTTGCGCTGGGCCTTGTGCTTAGAGGCACATGGGCTTAGAAGGGCTTTATGCTTGGATTAATCTGCTCCTGCTGTTTTGTTTTTCAGACAGAGGGTGCTCCTCTGCTGAAGAGGGAATGGTCTTGCACTAATTCCCTGGTAGTTTGCTCTCCCCTCTCCTATGGGCTGGTGAGAGACGTGCGCAGGGTCCTATAATGCCCATTATGCATGCCTCTAGCAGGATTGAATTCTGCTGGATTATCTGGCCTAATGAGCAGAGCAGCTCGGACCAGAACCTGCATTTGCTAGAGGCATTTTTTTGTTCTCATTCTACGTGAAACCAGTAGCCTTTGGAAACTTCATTGGTGATTCAGAGCAATATCCTCAAATGTGGAATATGTTGGCTCCCAAAACCCAGGAAGCCCAACAAATATTGTATCTAATTTTTAGTGATGGAAAATAGATGTGTAGAGAGCAACATACTGTTTACTTTAAAAAGGATGTTTCAGCATGTGTACTAGGAGCACTGGACCCCTATAATTATCGTCTATGTTATAGGTCACTGAAACTTCTTGTTCATCTTTCTTCTTCTGATATTTTACTTCTGTTCAACATTATAGTACTTTACTATATTGAAGAAACTCACCACTTCCTGCTTATGGGTACCAATTAATGCAATTTATTAATATATTGAGTTAGCGTGATGTTTTGCAAAATGCCAGTTAAACTGAAAAAGAAGTGACATAGCCCTGACATAAAACAGTGAAGCAATACATTTGTTCTTCCTACATCAAAACAAATCATTTTTATTTTCTCTCACAATGGGTGTAGATGAAAAAGTATTCACTAAATAAAAAGCCTCATATAAGAGCCAGACACCATGTTTTCTCAGTGAAGATATCACATCCTAGAGAGTATCTGCAAGTACAATTTAAGTTTTTGCTAATGTGCATTTATCCTATAATTCATCTGGTTTTGGCAGAGGCCAGATAGGTTAACTGAATAAGGAAAAGAAAGATGGACAACTACCCTCTGAAACTTTCTAGTGTTTTTTTTTTTTTTTTTTTTTTTTTTTTTTTTTTTTTTTTTTTGTCGTGTCCGTGACCAATTCTATTCCTTGGAGAATGAGGTTATTATGTTTTACTCATTTTCTTGCCAGAAGAGAATTCAGAGGACTCTTTTTACTACTACTTACAATAATGTCCCTTAATATACAGGGCTGGAAGCAATGCGAGAGTTCTGCTAGCTGTTGAAACTGTTAATTTCAATTAACATTTAGGAAGAGATAGCAAATATAAACCCATTTTATCCACCTTAGGATGAACATGAGCCAAAGCTTTATGCAGCATCTGACTTTCAAACTCATACTCCAGGACTAGTGAGGCCGCTCACACCTGTAATCCAAACAGTTTGGGAGGCTGAAGTGGAAGGAGCACTTGAGGCCAGGAGTTCCAGATCAGCCTGGGCAAGATAGCAAGACCCCAATTGTTAAAGAAAATTAGCTGGTTGTGGTAGTGTGTGCCTGTAGTTCCAGCTACCCAGAAGCTTCTGGCAGGGGGATCACTTTAGCCCAAGAATTTGATAATTGTGCCATTGCATTCCAGCCTGGGCAACCAAACAAGACTCTCTCTAAAAATAAACAAACGAAAAAACCAAACAAACTACCAGAAAACAAAGTCTTCCACTCCATTATGTGAAACACAGTGTCATATATATATATATATACATATATATATATATTTGTTATATATATATGTATTTGTTATATATATATATATATATATATATATACACTTTAAGTTCTGAAGTACATGTGTAGATCTTGCAGGATTATTAAATAGGTATACACATGCCGTGGTGGTTTGCTGCCTCCATCCCCCCATCACCTACATTAGGTATTTCTCCCAATGTTATCGCTCCCCAATCTCTCCACCACCTACCATCCCTCCCCTAGGCCCCCACCCTCCAACAGACCCCAGTGTGTGATGTTCCTCTCCCTGTGTCCATGTATTCTCATTGTTCACCATCCACCTAGGAGTGAGAATATGTGGTGTTTGGTTTTCTGTTCTTGTGTCAGTTTGCTGAGAATGATGGTTTCCAGCTTCATTCATGTCCCTGCAAAGGACATGAACTCATCCTTTTTTATGGCTGCATAGTATTCCATGGTGTGTTTGTGCCAC